CTTCATCACTCATCTGTTCCCATTAAGTTTTGGTTTGATGCTGTTGCCACATCCACATTCCTCATTAACAGAATGCCTTCTAGTATTTTACATCACAAGACACCTTTTGAGATGTTATTTCATACCATACCTGATTTCTCTCTTTTCAAAGTGTTTGGCTGTCAGTGTTTCCCTTGGTTAAAACCTTGTGTTCCACACAAGCTAGCACCAAAACCCATGTCTTGTGTTTTCTTAGGATACCATCCTACTATTAAGGGATATAGATGTCTTGAGCCTCTTTCTGGAAAAATCTACATTTCTAGGCATGTTATTTTTAATGAATCATGTTTTCCTTTTTCTCAGCAGTCCACAGTGTCCTCTTCTTCATCTACTTCAGATTTATCTACCCTTACATCATTTTTCTGGCCTGCTGCACTCAGTTCTTCAGCTGCCATTCCAACTCAGTCTCCTTCTTCATCTGTTTCATCTCCTGCTGAGCATTCTTCCAGATCTGAGCCTACTCCTCCTCTTCCTCAGCATATTCCTATTTCCTCTCCTGCTTCTTCTGAGCCCTCTTCCAGATCTGAGCCTACTCTTCCTCTACCTCAACCTATTCCTATTTCCTCTGTTACTATTGATTTACCTCCTCCTTCTCTTTCTTCCTCTGTGTCTAACATCCATCCCATGATTACTCGATCTAAACATAGGCCTTCCCACTGTTTTTCTGCTAAAAGTTCTCTTCTTGAAACTGAACCTACATCTGTTCATGATGCTCTTCACTCTCCTGTGTGGTTTCAAGCCATGCAAGAAGAATATCAAGCTCTTCAACAACAAGACACTTGGGACCTTGTTCCTCTTCCTTCTCATAAAATTGCCATTGGGTGTAAATGGGTTTTTCGCATTAAAAGAGATTCAAATGGTACCATTGCTCGTTATAAAGCTAGATTGGTGGCCAAGGGATTTTTGCAAACAGAAGGAATTGATTTCCATGAGACCTTTAGTCCTGTGGCTAAACAACCCACCATTCGCATCTTTTTGAGTATTGCTCTTCAAGCTCAATGGTCCATCAAACAGCTTGACATTTCCAATGCATTTCTTCATGGTACACTTCAAGAGGAGGTCTATATGCTGCAGCCTCCAGGGTTTGAACAATCTTCTACACATGTTTGCAAACTCAAGAAGGCCTTGTATGGTCTCAAGCAAGCCCCTCGGGCTTGGTACTCCACCTTCTCAACTTTCTTGCTCTCTCAAGGATTCACCAACAGTCTGTCTGATGCCTCTCTTTTTATTAGAAAAACTTCTACAAACCTCACTCTGCTCTTGGTATATGTTGATGACATCTTACTAACTGGTGATGATTCTGCTTTCATTAATCTGCTTCTTCAGCACATGCACACGTCATTTTCCATGAAAGTCCTTTGTCTTATTTTCTGGGCATTTCAGTTACGTCTGATGAGCATGGTTCCTTTTTATCTCAAGCTAAATATGCTGCTGCATTATTGAATAAAGCTCGAATGGCCGACTGCAAACCATGCTCCTCTCTTATGATAGTTAAAGCTGTGTGTTCTACAACAGATTCCCTGCCATTTGCTCAGCCATCACTATATCGAAGTTTGGTTGGTGGACTGCAATATTTGACTATCACCAGACCTGATCTCTCCTTTGCTGTTAATCAAGCATGTCAGTTTATGCATCTCCCTACCAATGCTCATTTTCATGCTGTTAAGAGGCTCCTTAGATATGTCAAAGGGACTCTACATCATGGTCTCTTTTTCACTCCCAGTTCTTTTGATCTTTCTGCCTTCTCTGACTCTAACTGGGCTAGTGATAGCCTTGATTGAAGATCAACATCAGGCTACTGTGTATATCTTGGCTCAAACTTAATTTCATGGTCCGCTAAAAAGCAGGCAACTGTTTCTAGATCATCCACTGAAGCTGAGTATCGCGCCTTAGCTCATGCTACAGCCGAGCTCACTTGGATTCAATAATTGCTTAAAGACTTTTGTGTTTCTTCTTCTCATGTTCCTGTCCTATGGTGTGATAGTTTATCTGCCATGGCCTTAGCATCCAACCCTGTTTTTCATTCACGGTCCAAACATATAGAAATCGATTGTCATTTTATTCGCGAAAAAGTGGTTGCCAAACAGATTGAGCTTAAGTATATTCCAACCATGGATCAGGTAGCTGATATTTTCACAAAGCCTCTTCCTCCTTCCAGATTTCATTATCTTCGTGACAAGCTGTTAGTGGTTTCCTCCCCTATCAGCTTGAGGGGGGCTGAAGAAGTATCATCCTCCTCTGCTCATCATCCTCCTCTGCTCAGCATTCACCACTAGCATTCACCATCTCATAGAGCTCATGGACAGCTGTCAATGTTTGTTAAAGCTGCATCATCACAGCTCTGTAATTCTAGGAGCATTAGTTGTAATGGTTAGCAAATATGTTATGAGTTAGTTAGTCAGTTTAGGTTTATAGTATATAATCTGTTATGAGTTAGTTAGTCAGTTTAGGTTTACAGTATATAAATCAATGTAAGTTCCAGATCTGATATAATGAAAATAATGAATTCAAAGAAACTCAATATGATAGGCAAAATAACAATATAAATGTGATCAACCTCAGAAACCATTCAAGTTCGAGTAAGATACCGAGCAGGGCTAATATGGTTAGGAACCTTTCCCAAATTTAATTGTTTTTCGGTCCCAATACTCTTTTAGGAATAGAATTATGTGAGAATATTGATATATAGAAATCTCAAAACATGATGCTATGATTTGGAATCAAAAGATTTGATGATAAAAAATTTCATGTGGACTAATATATAGGCGATTAGCATAATTAATGATAGGTGTCACTTTTTAAACTTAAGAATGTGACAATTAATTAGAATATTTAAAATAACACTTTCTCTTATATTTTTTTTCTTCTAATTATCAACTAATTATCTCACTTACCCATCATTAAATCTAAAAATTAAATTTAAAAAATAGAGTATATCATTTTACGGTCAAATAAGATGGATGAGTTTAGAGGGAAAAAGAAAACAATGAAAAAGAGAAAGCAAATCATCCTGAAAGCAGGACAACCCCTGAGAGAGAAAAAAAACAGTAATCAATTCTTGTGTTTGGAAGAGTTGTAATTTTTTTTTTTAAAAAAAAAAAAAATTAAACACCAAAGATATGAATAGATTTAAGGGTTCGTTTGGCAAGTAACTTTTTTTAATAAAAAATTTAAAAAGTTATTAAAAAAATCAAAAAGTCAACAGCTCATACTAAAAAGTCAAAGATTCCCTTTTCTCTCTACTTTTTGCATATTTTTCGTAAAAAGTCAAAAAGTCATCCTAAACATACTAGTTTTTTTACATCACATTTTAGCTAAAAAGTAAAAAAATTACTAAAAAAGCCTGTTCCCAAACGAGGCCTAAGTGGTGTTTTGAAAAATTGATAAAAAGTAGTTTTTTAGGTACCGTTTGATAACATTTATGTTTTCAGTTTTCTGTTTATATTTACAAAAATTTTAAAAACTCAAATAAAAACTTGTTTGGTAAAATTTTTGATTTATAAATCAGTGGTCTCAGTTTATAAATTTGGCCAAAAAATGAAAACACAAAAAATGTGTTTCCGTTTTGAGTTTTGAGTTTTTTTTTTTTACCCCCCAACATTAGTCACCCCCCGCCACCATTTTCCAACACCGTCTTCCGCCACCACCACCCATCCCCCACCACCTGCCACCCTACCACTCACCACTCACAACCCACCTGCCACCACCACCATCCACCACCTACCACCACCACCAGCCACCCATGTTCCGGATTGAACCTCACGATTCCGGATTGGAACCGATCCGGACCGTATACAAATAGTCTATATTTTTATTATACATCCTCCCCCATAGTATCTTCTCTTATTCTATCCACTCACCCACCATCACCACCCGCTATCTAACCGCCAGCCCCGCTACCACCACTACCCGTCATCCGCCACCCACTTGCCACCACCACCCACCACCTGCCACCACCACCACCACCCACTCGCTACCACCCACCACCCGCCACCGTCACCGTCACCCACCCACTCACCACCAGCTATCCACCACCTACCGTCACCACTTTCCACCACCATATTCCGCTGCCACTTGTCATTTCTCACTCTTTTTATATTTTTAAAATTTTTGTTAATTACTAAACACGTTTGTAGTTTATGTTTTTCTAAAAATAAACAAAAAATAAACAAAAACCTGTTTATAAAATTTTTATAAATATAAACTAAAAACGTAGATGTTACCAAACATACCCTTAGCTTTTTTTTGTTATTTTTTTAACTTTTTAGTATAAAAAATAAAGATGTGATGTAGCTTAAAAAAATCAAAAAGTTAAAAACAAAAATTGACTTTTTAGGTTTTCACCTGCATGACAGTAAGTGGTTGTTTGAGGTATCCTAAATAAGTGCACTTTTTATCTTTTTGGATTAAAAAATTGAGGAAAAAAATATGAATGTTTAGGTTAACTTTTTGACTTTTTATGAAAAAATGTATATTAAAAAATTGTATAAATTAGTATATAGGGAAAAATTAAAATTGAGAGTTGTGGAACAGTAATTTTTGACTTTTGGTGAATAGTGATAATTTTTAACTTTTTGAATAATTTTTTGACTTTTTAATTTTTTTTCAATTCGCTAAACTTGGCCTAAATCTAAGTTGGATCTGGACTTGTTTTTTTATTCTATTTTATTAGGTTTGTGTTGTGTTTGGATTTTAGACGAGAGAAAAAATTCATACATGAAACGAAAATGATTGAAAGGGAAAATTGGAAAAAAATAATAATAACTTCTTCAATTTTCCTTCTTATTTTGCTTTTTACTCTTCACATTTAAGATCTAAACATTTTTTTTTTTAATTGCTACCCCTCTTTCTACCCCACTCTGAGACAAAGCAAAAGCAAGAGAAAAGCAAAGAGAGAAAAGGAAAAACATAAAAAAGAAAAAAAAGGAAAGAAAGAAAAAGGAAAGCTAATAAAGAAAAGAAAGACAAAGGTTCTCAAAGCCCCATGATTCAAAAATTCTCTCTCTTTCTCTCAAAAACTGGACTTTGAGAGAGAGAGCTTCCTCTCTACTTAATCCATAGGAGGAAGACTTCTCAAAGTTTTTACAAAGACCCTATTTGGGAGCTTCAAGAGAAAAGAAAGTAAAAGAGAAAAGAGAGTATCGTACTAGTACTACAAAGTGATTAGAGAGAAAGTGAGAGAGAGAGAAAGGGAAAATTTTTCTTTTTTGTTTTTCTGAGGAGGAGAGGAGGAGATGAATAGAGGGGTGTTGCAGAGCTTGCCGGTGCAACAGATGTTGACCGGAAGCCCTAACTGGTGGAATATCAATCATATGAGGCCGCCATCCCAACCATCTTCACCTTTCTTGATTCCTCCTTCAAATCTCTTCCCTCAGTACACACCACCTTCAGCAGCACCACCACCACCACCATCCTCTTCTTCTTCTTCTTTGCTTCCTTTGTCATCATCCTCTTGGCATGACAACAACCAGGAGCTTCCAGAGTCATGGAGCCAATTCTTCTTGTAACTCTCTCTCTCTCTCTCTCATAGACACAGACATGCATGGTTTTTTTTTTTTTTTTTACCCTAAATATATTCTTTCTCTCCCATACCTATACTACATACATGCTTTCATCTTGTTGATGGAATTTTTATACCTTTTAAGATGCATGTCTTGTGATCTAAACATTGAAAACTTTTATAAAAATCTCTCCCACTCTCTCTCTCTCTCTCTCTCACGCATAGGGTACTTGAGCTTTTGATTATAGTTTTAAATACTAGTATTAGGATCATATCGGATGCAATCATATATCGACTACTATTGAACAGTCTCAACCGATATATTTGTAACTATTGAAAGTCTAAAAATCCCGATGCAGACCACTATTTATTAAAACCCTGCTTTTGATATACAACTTAGACATTTAAAAATTGATTTTTAATTCTAACTTAATCTTGCTATACCTTTAACCCATCTATACAAAAATAAGTGTTTTTGTGTGTGGATTGGTGAATGGAAATTAAGTTGGGATTTATGGATTTGTAGGGGAGGATTGGTGGGTGAAGAAGATAAGTCTGGTTTGAGCCATGTTCAAGGTAAAAAGTTGGAGAATTGGGAAGCACAACTATTGCAGCAGGCTTCAAATGCTCCATCTGTGGAAATCAAGCAAGAGAATTCTGCAGCAAACAGCTATGTGTATGGCCTTGGAAATGGAGAATACCATGCAGCAAAACCTACTTGGTCTCAAATCATGCCTGCCTCTTCTCCAAAGTCTTGTGTTACAAGTTTAGGCAGCAACATGTTGGAGTTTTCTAGCAACAAGCTAGATGGGAGGCATCCACCGCCAGATCGTTCCTCAGAGGTATGAGAGGGAAATTAACTGGACTAGTTCGGTTAGCCAGATTGTTTTTAAATTTTATCACAATTAGTATTGTTCAAAGGTATGATAGAGAAATTAACCAGGGCTAATTTAGTTGGCCAGAATTTTTGTACCTCACAAGGAGATCAAAGATTCAGGTCTTGCCACAGTTGAGATTTCCCTCTCCTCAGACTATAAACTCCGATGTACACCGAAAAAATTACATGAGAGGAAATTTTATTTTATATTATGAGAAGTTTAAACTTCTAGAGTTTGGATATTAAGTTTAAAGATTTATATTATGTTGGTTTAAGGCCCATTAAATTCTTGCTTATTTGAAGATTAGCCACTGATATTCTGTTGATCAAAGTGGATTTAAGGACTCTTATGTTGTTCCATCTACCATTATTTGTGAAAATATCTTAGAAAAAGACTTGATTTATCATCTTTAGATTTGTCAAAGGGTGGTCAATAAAGATTCTCATCTTCTCCTCTCTTTTTCCTGTAGTGTAACAGCACTGCCACTGGTGGGGTAATAAAGAAAGCTAGGGTTCAACCTTCTTCAACCCAATCTACCTTCAAGGTAACTAACACCTCTCTCTCTCTCTCTCATTCATATTCAAATTGGATGATTATTGTTGTCTTTCTTGATTGTCTATTTGTTGAAGGATGATGATTCTTTAGCTATCCTTATCTCATCCACACAAGTAGGAAAAAATGAAAAACCTTCAATTACAAAGGAGAGACAATTATTGCAATCAAGTACTTATTCAGTTATTTTCTCTTTGTAAAACAGGTGAGGAAGGAGAAATTAGGAGATAGAATAACAGCCCTTCACCAGCTAGTTTCCCCATTTGGCAAGGTAATGCTTCAAAATCTAAACTTACACAATTAAGAAGACTTGTAAAAGTTTTGAGACTCACAATGTCGTGACACTAATAAATTATTAATTTTAAATTTTAATAATATGTTGCAAATGAAATAAAATGGAAAGTATCAAAATTTATAAAGGATAATACACATTACTTTTATGAGGAAACCCCTTGACGCTTCGGAGGGATGTTTTTGGGTCCCAAATATGAAAGTTCTTTTTCTTCTTTGTTTTCTTTATGAGTTTTAAAAACAATATTTTTATACAAGCAATTCTACTGGCCAAAAAGAAAAAAAAAAAAAAAATTATAATTTCGTCTAAATTTTGTAATCAATGGCCAAGATTCATTCATGTACTTTTCTAAATGCCTAGACTTTTTATTTTTATTCATAACGATATGACTATTTGTGCTACTTTCATTTTATGTCAAAAACACTTATTATTATAACTTATAATTTCAAAACAATATTCTATAGCCCCAAAAAGGGAACCAAACTCAAAAATATATATATATATATATATATATCAAATATATGGCCCACATTTGAAGTTGCTATTGTTGGTTCATACTTTAAGTAAATCTCTAGACCATTGTTGTTAAATTCTAGGTATTTTTGGGTATTTTTTTATTATTATTATTTTTTTTTTATGGGATTTTAGTATTGCCCATTTTAAGAAACTATTATGACTTATAATGTGGTAGCTAATTAATCCCACCTTTGAAGCCAGGTTCTAAGGACAAAGCCCGTTGTTTGTTGTGTGAAATCTTTTTATTGTGGGTGTTTGAAAAGTTGCTATTTTAATTTTTGATTATTTTAGTAGGCTAAAATTTTTGTGTTTGATAAGATGATTGAATTTTTTTAGTTGGATGTAATGTTTGTGAGAGAAAAAATAAAATAATTATAAGTTTGATGTGATATTCTGTCTTATTAATTATTTTAACTTATTTTGTCTTTTTGTGAATTTTCACAAAAAAAATAGCCTAAACCTAAGTTGCCAAACACCCCCATTATCTGAAAGCTTTAAAAAAAAAAAAAGAAGGCAATGCTACTAATACCTAAACTATATGATAGATCACAAGAAATTGCATATTGTGATTTGTGATTCATTCTGCATTTAGTTTTCATACTACGAGTATTTTTCCCCCACACAGTCCCCCTACTAATGTTGCGAATAATACTAATCAATTAATTATCTTCACACTCTTCTCTCTTCCCTCAGAATTGTTTATCACACCATTGAAGAGAGTTTAAGGGAAAAAAATTGAGAGATGATGCATTACTCTTTTGTTAAAGGAAACGAGGAACATGCCTTTTGGAGGGTAACGGTGTGCTTTCTTTTCTTTCTCTTTTGCAGACTGACACAGCTTCTGTCTTATTAGAAGCAATTGGGTACATTAGATTCCTTCAGAATCAAATTGAGGTGATGTTTTTCCCTCTGATTTTGTTTTTGCAAACTACCATGAACCAGTGATATGTGGTTACAAAAATCTCGTCCATTCAATGTGCTTTTTAACATTCTCTTTAGTTATTGAAGTTATTAAAAATCTGTCCTCTTCCCTCTTCTCTCCTCCCCCTTGAATATTGCAGGCTCTCAGCTTGCCGTACTTGGGCAGTGGATCAGGAAACATGTGGCAGCACCAACAGTCGGTAAGATTTACTACATACATATACATTTATTTGTCACTAATGCATAACCTCTCTCTCTCTCTCTCTCATAAGGGGTTTTCTATTTTTAAATTTTTCTATTTTTTTGTCGTCAAAAACTTTCAGTCATAAGATGATATCTAAAGATTCTTGTATTTTTAAGATTTTCATATGATCCTACAAATGGGAATGTAACGGGTTTGAGAGATTTTTAGACTGAGAATTCTATGCCCTTTCTTCTCCTCTCCTCCCCACCACCCAAAAGAATGAGAAAGAAAACCTAAAATCTAATTGCATATCTAGATATGTTCTCAAATTTTTTTTTTTTCCTTTTGTTTCCGAGATTTTCATATAATTCTAGAGTTGAGAGTGCATTGGCGCAGAAAGATTTGAATAGGGGTGTAAACCTGTCCCGGCTCGATCCATGTCGGGCCTTGCGGGTTCCCACCAAAATTCAGGTCAGGCCGGGCCACGGGTCAGAAAATTAGGCCTAAACCTAAACCCAAGCCTAATCTTAGGAGTATTCGGGCCTTGGGTGGGCCGCTGGGCTGGGCCTCGGGCTAGCCCGGTGGGCTTAGACTTGGCCTTTGGCTTGTTTTTTTTAATTTTTTCTACAAAAATTATATTATTTTTCACTAAAAAAAGACACTGGGCCTCGGCTGGGATAAACCTTGAGTGGGCCTTGAGTAGGCCGATAGATCGGGTTTCAAAATGATGGCCCAAGCCCAGGTCTAGGGCTTGGGCTAGGCTCGGGCCTGGGCCCAAACGGGCCTAAACAGACGGGGCCCACCCTGAGTGATGGGTAGGCTTCGGGCAGCGCACAGCCCACAGGCTGTTTTTACACTCCTGGAGTTGGAGATCCCATCCCCCAAAAAAGAGAAAAAACCCAAATTCTAAATGCATGTTTGAGTGTGTTTTCATTTTTCAAAAAAAGTGAATTGTTTAAAAAAAAGATTTTTAAAAGAGAAAATTACACCGGTAGCCTTATGATTTGATCATTGTGCTATTTTTGTCTCTTTCAATTGGCTTAATTTTGATTTTAAATTTATGATTTTGTCTCAATTTGATCTAATTGATTATAATTACTAGTGTTTTTTCATGAAAAATATGTACATGAACAGCATGAGTCAAGCATTTATAGGCAAAATTACTAACTTGTTCAACTTAGCAAGAAAATCTCAACCAACCTAGTAATCATTTTTTTTAAAAAAAAAAAATCTTAATATACGTTATCAATTAGATTAAATTAACATAAAATTTAGAATGAAGGGGCAAAATCAAATTAATTAAAATGACAAAGACTAAAATGAAACGAGATAAAATACAAGGACTTTTATATAATTTATCCATTTTAAAATTTTAAAATGAGTGAGACTTCCTTTTTGGAGGACCCCCACAACTCCTATAGTGATTCACACCATTCATGATGTGTACCTCACACATCATAAATGGTGTAGATCACTATAGAGATTGTGACGTCCTCCAAAAAGATTCTCTATCCTTTTTAAAATTTTCAAAATTGATTTCACAAAATAAAAGGAGTACGAAAACATTAATTGATTAATGATTATAATTTCTTTTTAGGTTCAAGGGGAGAGGAATTGTTTATTTCCTGAAGACCCTGGCCAGGTATGCTTTATTGGATCCATTACCCTCAAGCAGCAAAATAAAAAATTAACAACAATGTTATAAACCACTAAATTGTTATCATTAACATTATTATTAATAATGTGGTAATTAAAAAAGAAAAACAAACAAACAAACAAAAATTAAGACATAAAATACATGGGACAGTAGGTGGGATCTACTATCACATTTCTAGTGCAACTACTAATTAGTGATCTGCATTATTTTTCAAAAAATAAAATAAAAAACAAAACAAAACAAAATAAAATAAAATAAAAAAGCTACTTAGTTACTGCATCTTCGTCTTTTTTCTGCAAAGAAAGTGTTAGAAACACGAGGCAACCAGCTTTATTGACTTTAACATTCGCTAAAAATAATAAAAGAATAATTAAGGACGTTAGCCAGAAAAAAGAATAATTAAGGACTATTTTAGATGCATTAGACCCATAAAAGTTCTCATAAACTAATGAAATTTCTCATTTATTTCTTGAATAGCTGTTGAACGACAACTGCATGAAGAAAAAAGGAGCTGCTGAGCAGGTACCTTCTTGCCTATTATATGCCCATTTAACTTCTTTCTTTCTTCTTTTTTTTTCATTTTTTTTTTTTTTGGGGACTAATTACACCAATAATACCTAAAATATGCACTCTGCTACACTTTAATCTTTATTCTCTTGATTTTGTCAATTTAGCTTGTAAACTATAAAATGTGAATTACAATGGTCCCCAATGCTCACGCCCTAAATTGATTTATGAAAGTGAGATTATTTTCAAAACTTAAAACAAAATAAAAAGATTAGGGTCTAAAATGCAATAAAACACTTATTTTGGGTCCAAAATGCAACAAAGGTACACACTTTTTGGATCGGGTATGTATTTGGTCTTTCATTCTCTTCCGGTCTTCATGATAAATTATAAAAATACTCAACTTCCATTAATCAATTTGGATGTGAAGACTCTCAACCATTTAATTTCACATTTAAGCCCCGTTTAAGAATTGATTATTTTAGTTGATTTTTTATTTTTGATTTTCGATTTTTGATTTTTTATGAAATAATATGTAAAAAGTAAAGAAAGTGATGTGACAATTTATAGTAATTTTTTTTACTAAAATTCATAATCCCCAAACAGGACCTTAGTAATTTGATTGACAAAATTAAAATGGTATTTATGTAATTGCTCTTTTTTTCTGTGAACTTTTACTATTAGTTCTTATTGTATTTGCATACACACTGCTAAAAATTGGGCTTTTTGCAACAATGTCGCTTAGTTTGTCACTAAAAATGGGTTTTTTTTTTGCGACAGCATAATTCAATTGACAAAGTTGAATTAATGATTTTATTTTATTTTAATTGCTTTAGGATTCTCATGAAGAGTCAAAGGACTTAAGGAGTAGAGGGCTGTGTCTAGTTCCGATATCATGCACATTGCAAGTTGGGAGCGACAATGGTGCGGATTACTGGGCACCGGCTCTTGGAGGAGGCTTCCGATAGGTCAAATTTTGTCACAGCACACTGGAATGGAGCTTCAAGAAATGATATAACATCATGAGCAGTCACTCTGCTGAAAACAAATTAAGGCTGATTGCTCATGATGCTATGCAAAATTCTTGATTGGGATTTATAAGTGTGTTGTAACATAATATATATATATATATATAGGGCTTGAAAGTCCTAACTAAGACTATCTAATTTCAGTTTTCAGTTCTTGATGATCTTTGTTCCTTTTTATGGCTAGTACAATGGTTTCATGTGTATGCCATTCTAGTATTATTAATCATTTGATGCTTCCTAGGCATTGATCTTTTTCTCATCATTTTATTTTATTTTTCTCTCTACTATATATATATTTTTTTATCAATAAAAAAGAAGAGACTTTATTGATATAAAACCAGTGTACAAGAAGAAATTACATCAATAAAGATAGAGAAAATGTAGGTGCAAAAAGTATCATAGCAATGCAAATCGATCTTAATTAAGTTGGCATGGAAGAGCAAACACAATCATTTGCAAGCACACTACCGAGGGTTGGCAAGGGGCCAACTAAAGCAACTAAATAGACCCCAAAACCATATAAAAACAAATAATAATAATAATAATAATAAAAATAAATAAATAAACAGAAGCAACAAGAAACCAGATGCATTTAGTTCTTGAAATTAATTGAGCTTCATAAATGGATTGAACTTTTCTAACAAACTAGAGATTGAACCGTGACACCCCAAAGAATACCGTGTACTATAATTATATCATCATCCATCTTTGAATATCTTAGGTTAAAATAACTATTCCATTGACTATTTCATATCACAGAATACCCCAGATTTAATTACCTTACAATGTTTTGAAAATAAAAATATGAATTGTTAGGACAACAACTTAGGAGATGAATACATTAACTAGAAAACTTAGGAATATATGTGTTTGATAGAAAACCTAAGGTGCCTAGAAGAATGTGAATATGTCCAAGAGATTTAGTAAGTATTAAAGAGTTAGGGAATTCATCTTGAAGTTGAATATTGAACATTTAGATAATTCAAGAAACTCTAAGTGAGAAACTTAATGATCTTAGTTTAATGAGTAGAGAGTACTTAATTGAAAATTAAACAAAATTAGCAAAAGTTAAGTAAGATTAATTAAGAGCTAAGTAAGATTAATTAGCTAATTAAGATTAGGACCTAAGCATGATTAATTAGAATTAAGCTTGGTTAACTAAGCTAATGGAGCAATTAGTAATTAAGATAATTAAATCCTACAGCAAAAGAGAAGCTTGGAGAGGTTTTGAGAGAGTTCTTGATAGTTGGAGAAGTTTGGTGCTCTCGAAGGAGAAAAAGAAGAGAAAGAAGAGAAAATCAAAGAACAACAAATTCTAGACAGGAAATTAAGAGAAATTCACAATAAGGTAAGAAATCCAATCTCCTTTCATGTTTTGTTGTTCTAATCTGGTTAGAAAATCATTTAAGATTATAGGATTAAAATTAGAGTTTTGAGGGAAGTTTTGGAAAAAGGAAGTAGGTTTCAAGATTTGAAAGAAAAATTATGTTTTGATTTGTTTTCATCTTGAATTCATGACACAGGAGTTTTCACCTATAAAATATCCATCATATATTCATGGTTTGGAGTATTGAACATCATGTTTTGAAAGATTTGAATGAAGAAAAGGAGTAGAAGTTTGAAAATAAACTAAGATTGAGAAGTTCTTGGATTAAAATATGTTTTTTGTTGGATTAATCTTGAAATCATGCATTCAAATGAGTTTTCAAGGATCATACATCATTCATTTATGTTTTGGTACATCAAACATCAAGTTTTGAGACTTTAGAATGAAGAAAAATGAGTTAGAACACCAAGAACATGCACCAGACCAGCTTTCTGCTTGTCGGGCGCTTCAGCAGCCACCTTCGACCGCACGAGCGCACAAAATCAAGTATGCCTCTCCCTGAGCCACCACTTAAGCGGCCAAGCCACTGCACGTGCGGCAAAAGCTGGCGCATGTGTGGCCAACCCCTATTTTAGCCCACTTTCTTTTATGTCTTGCATTTGCAAATGAGCATATCTCTCATCTAGACTCGGTTTTAGGCAATTCTTGAGTCTAAATTCAAGCATTGGAAGTCTAATTTCTAATGGCGGTGGTATTACATCAAAATTCTAAGTATACAAAAAGGTATGCTTAAATTAGTGAGGCCTGCTGACTTTCTTCCTAACAATTTCATTCTAATTCCTCCCCTAACTTAATTTTCCTTCATTTCTTCCTATTTCCTTAAACCTTAAATATCTAAAGATAATATTTTTCTATGCATAGTATATGAAACTGATGTGAAATACTTAGGGCCCTTCAACGTACATCTTTGACAAACTTCAACATTCTTCATGCCTTAATCACCTAGGGCGCTTCTAGGCATGCATTCGATACATGTTTAACACTTGATTTAGATTTAAATTAGGCTTAGAAAAGTCATGGATAATCTAAGAAAATATTAAGAAACGTAAGTTAAGTTAGAACACTTGAAGTAAATTTAAAAGCTCGTTAATTTAAGTGTTTTCAGCGCCTTCCTTATGCTGTGTTGGTCAAGCACTTGGAGGGAGGAAAACCTCATTGTTCGCAAGTTATTTGTGAGTAATATTATTGTAAGGTTATGTTTGAAAATTGTTTTGAAAACTTGATGATATATCATATTTTGTGAAATTCTTATTTTGTTTCTGAATGAATGAATATTTATATTTTGATAAATCTATTGTGACATCCTTTAAATAGTCCTAGCCATTGGGGGACAGTTAAATACATCATGGCCATTATTGAAATCTCCTTCGCCACCTCAGAATGGGTTGTTTAATTGGTGTTTAAACCGGTTATTCCTTCACTTCGCTTTAATAGATGTATCACGTCATCATATTTTGATTATGAAATATTCTAATGAGAAATGTTCAAATGTCTTTGGAAATATGATATGATATTATTCTTTGGAAATGAGATTAGAATTTATTCATTTACCACTTTAATATAATATTGTTCACTAGGCAATGGCTCACCCTTCTCCCTTATATTTATGAAGGTGACGAAGAACTCGATTATGAAAAGAAGTTTTCTAGAAGATGATCTTATATATTTGTGTTGGATTCGTAAAGTTTGGTCATATGTAATGTACTCTACTTTTGTTGTATTATCCGTATAATATAGCAAGATAGTAATCCAAAATAAATGTATACTTTCATTTCACGTAGTTATGTACTGGTCTGAATGGATGTTTTAATTGAATACAATATAAGAAAATAATGACTTTTGAAAGATAGGCCTTTGGTAGTCTACGACTACTGGCCAGTCACAACATCATCCTGTTTGGGGCGGGTTGGAGTTGTGACATGGACTTTCATCATCCTCTTTTTATTTTTATTTTTATTTATTTATTTTCCATTTTGTTGAGCAATGAGTTGGGAAGCAGATTTATGCAAATTAAAGGGAAGCACCCAAAATTACTTGTCTCAAATCTTTTAAATCTTTAGCATGAGTCCTTTTCTTAATGGGTTTTATTAATTTTGTGATTTTGTATAATGGCCGTTGTTACAGAAAAGGCAAACATCGTAGCCACTTATGCTTTAGGACATATGTTTTGAAACATAATATATTTTTGTCTCAAAATAGTAAATTTAGTAATTCTAAATATTTTTCTAGTATTGTGTCTTAAGACTGTATTTGATTCATGGATTTTGGAGGGATTTGAAAACGGAAAGAAAAAATATGTGTGAAACTAGATGAAAGATGGATATATTTTATTAACATTTTACCTACATTTTTTCTTTCTAAATTATTTTCCAAATTCTTGAATCAAACACAACCTAAGGGATTTTTCAAAAAGAAAGTAAATCGAATATAAAATTTTGACAAATCAAAACATAAAAAATACTCATGCAAATGTAGTATTTCATGATTAACTTGAAAAAATAATGAATGTATAAATGTTAAAAAGGCTATCTCTAGGGCCACTCCATTCCTATCAAAACAATTTCTTTTAATTTTCTTTCTTTTTTTATTTAACAAAGCAAAAATATCAATCCAAAGGTGAAATTTTAATCTTTGGTTACACATATTTCACACGTATTTTGTTCACACAATCTTCAAAAATAGTTGATTTTTTTGTGATTTATTTTCACTCTAATGAACCATTCTTTTCTTTTTTTATTTTTAACAAAGCAAAAATATCATTCCAAACGTGAAATTTTAATCTTTGGTTACATATATATTTCACACTTAGTTTGTTCCACAATCTTCAAAAATAGTTGACTTTTTTGTGATTTATTTTCACTCTCATGAACCATTCTTATTTTCTTGAGTCATAATCGAGTAATGATATGAGCATAGAAAAAGGAATGCGTGATTAGTAGGTCCACCCTACTAATCACTTGGTCCAAGGATTAATTTTCTTTAATGATATGTGCATAGAAAAAGGAATGCGTGATTAGTAGGTCCACCCTACTAATCACTTGGTCCAAGGATTAATTTTCTTTTGTGATAAGGATATGATTAATGAAATTATTTGGTAAAAAGAATAAATTATTGCTTTGAAAGAAATGCTTTTTTTTTTTTTTTTTTTTTTATCCTAGCATCACCTGGTTGTCAGAAAAGTTGTCAGAGGTGGTTAACGGCAACAGTGGCAACTAGTGGTAGTGGTAATATGGACAACTAGATGACACATGGACAAATAGGAAGATAACATGTGCACAAATAGTGTTAGCCCTAAGGCTAGTATGCATATATGTGAATAAGTTTTGACATAACAAACATATCTTTATGGTACTAATGACTTGTTCTCAAGTATATTGCTTATAGAAAAAGAATCCATGTGAATGTCAAAGAGCTTAAAGGATCAAGGCAAATCAAGAAAGAAATAAAAGAATTCAAATTCACAATGGTTAGTTTTGAATTCAGATTCGCAATCGCTAGCTTTTTGAATTTATATTCATAACGGTTAGTTTTTCCAATGGCAATTTAGTAACGGCTAGTTGGACTATCTCTCTCTCCCAATAGCTATATATATATATACAAGGCATCTCTTGTAGTAGAATGCAATGAAAAGAATAACAATCCTAAAGCTCTCTGTGTGAAATCTGCTCCATCTCTACACCTCATTTCATTCGATTCTAGGCTTATTTGTTTCATATTTTGAGATACATGCTATGAATTTTTTATCGTAATATCTACTCATTAAGGAGTTATTTTCGTTTTCCAAAATCCTTAATTACTCACCATATACAAAGGGTTGGGTTGTAACCCTTGTAAGGAAGACGAGGGTTTGTCTTCATCCTTGTAGAGTTTTTTTTTTTTTGATCGGCAAATAAAACTTTATTGATGAAGCACGTACAAGGTACAATGGAAAACATCAATAAAGAGGAGCTATGAGCTAGATAAAACTCAAACCTCCTAGTTGGTGAGAGACCAACAAAAAGAGAAAACAAAAAACAAGAACACAGCTAGTTGCTACAAAAACATTGCAGAGCATTGCAAAAAACTTCAACTGAGGCAGAACCACCACCTAGGGCAGATAACAACATCAGATTAACACTGCAGAGCATTAATACTGCACTGAACAAAACCAAGAGTTGCTACCAAAACACTGCGGAGCATTGCTCAAAACTTAGACCAAAGCAGATAGCAACATCAGACAGAGGCAGATTAACAAAGCTAATGCAGATTACCACAGATAGCAACATCAGATTAACAGAGCTAAACAAGCATACTTCACCCTACTTCAGCCCAGATAACTGCAAAACGGATTCCAAAACACTAAACTCCATCCCTGATCTGTCTCTAGTTGAAGACAAGATCATCAACTGAGTATGGGAAGTCCTTAATAGAAGCTTTGAGCCAAACCACAGATCTGAATTTGATGAGTTCTAGAAGACCTGAAGAGGTGGGTTGTGCATTAGAAAACACACATTCATTTCTGAGTTTCCAAATAGACCAGAGTACAATTAAGGGGATTGCTCTCCAAATTAATCTGTCAAAGTTATGAAATTTCCCACTCATCCACCAAGATAGAAGACCATCAACTGAATTAGGAATACACCAATGGAGACCCCATTCCTCAACAACTGCAGACCAGATTGACCAAGAGAAGGGGTAATGTAACAGGACCTGAGAAGCAGTTTCTAACTCGGAGTTGCAAAAATGACAGAGGGGTGAAGTATTGCTGTCCAGGATACCAATCTTGAGCAGAAAATCTGAACATTTGATTCTAGATTTCCAAGCCAGCCAAGAGAAAAATGAAACTCTCAGGGGCAATGACGAATTCCAAACGAAATTGCTTACCTTAAGATGAGGGCCAAGAAGAGATGAGTTGTGAGAGTATAGAGCAGAAACAGAGAAACTAGACACTGAATCAGTGCACCAAACTTGACAGTCTTCACGATCCAAACACAAAGTTGGAGCAGAGGATAAAAGAGCATTCAATCTCACTTCTTCAGCCAATTCCCATGAATAGAGCTCTCTTCTATGGGGAAGGTTCCAAGCAGATGAACTTGATTTCCTTGCAAAATAATGATTGAGAGAACCTTCCTTATCAGACGACAGATTAAAAAGAAGAGGGAAAGAAGATTTCAAACAAAGGCCACCACACCATCTATCAAGCCAGAATCTGATTCTGATACCATTCCCAACCTTGATAACACAGTTGTCCACAAAGAAGTTAAAAATAGGCCTATTAAGAGCCCTAATTGATAAAATGTCACTCCACAATCTAGAATGCTTATAAAAGGGTCTCAAAGGAGGAAACCAACAGGAGTTTTTGATATTATATTTGTTGCACACAATTGACCTCCAGAGAGCATTGGCTTGGTTTCACTACAACAAAAAGCATTTTTTGCGACGTTTTTTAGCAACAAAATTGAATTTGGTTGCCAATTGTATTTTTTTGGCGACAATATACGTGTTGGTCGCCAAAAAATACACCATTAGCAACAAATATCTCAATTTGTCGCGAAAAATGGTTGGCGCCAATTTAATTTTTCGCGCGGGAGCGCTAAAAAAGTTTTGGCGACGAAATTAATATATGGCGACGAAATTGTTTGTCGCCAATTTGCGAATTTTTGGCGACAGAATTAAACTAGTCGCTGAAAGGTGAGTGATATTTATGGCAACAAAATGATTTTCGTCGCCAATAAGTTTTTTGTCAAAACGACGTCGTTTTGAATCTGTCCTTTTTATTTTTTTATTTTTTTTAAATGACTTTTAAGTGAATAAACAAAAGTGACCTAAAAGGAGACTTATTCGTCTTCTCATTTCAGAACCTGAAGCGGCACAAACAGGTTCAGAAGCACACATTGTAGACTTCTTCATCTTCTCCAGCAACACCTCACAAAGCCCTTCGCAATCCCCCAACAACCCAATTCTAAACTCTCTTTCCACTCCTTCAAATATCCTAACCCTCATCCAATTTCTTTTCGCTTCTCAATCTCACATTTGGGTTCCAACTCTAAACAATCCAAATGGGTCTCCGCTGTTGCTGAAGAAACTTTGGTTTCGACACAAAACCCGTCGTCCGAGGCGGCACGGAGAGTTTACATCGGAAACATTCCTCACACTGTCAACAACGATGAGCTCCGCCAGATTGTCGAAGAGCACGGTGCTGTCGAGAAGGCCGAGGTATCAATTCTAGTTAATTATGAATTTGTCTGTGATTGCATTAGTTTAGTACTGTAGAAGTGATTTTCTTTAATTTTAATTGGGGATCCATGGAATAAATCAGTGTTATATGGCTTTGCATTAGCAATTTGTAGAAAACTTGACAGTGGATCTTGTGTATAGGTGCAATTAGAGTAAGGATCATGTTCCACTAGGATAGATAGATAAAGTTGAGAAATAAGCTCATTTAAAATGCGTTAAGTTATGATCCTATCAAACTGAAGGAGTGTCTATTGGTTTTGACATGTTCACAAGTTTTCATTGGACCAAAGCAGAAAGCAGAGGGCTCACCCTGATGCTGGGTAGACATGGAAAAGGGTTCACTTTTTTCTTGATAAAACAATTTGCAATTAGGCACTCTAACTTCCTTTCTGGATTCTACCGATAGGTTATGTATGATAAGTACTCTGGAAGGAGCCGACGATTTGCATTTGTTACGATGAAGACTGTTGAGGATGCAAATGCTGCTATTGAAAAGCTAAATGGCACAGTAAGATGTGATTATATGGTCATATTACTGGTTTTTAAAGATTAGGAATTCACTATGTATGGTTCTTTGTTTATATGAATTCTTTGAACAAATTGCTTAATTTGATCTTGTTTTCCACTACAGCAAATTGGAGGGCGAGAAATCAAAGCAAATATAACAAAAAAACCCTAACAAACTATGGATTTGCCATTTTTCCAGTCTGAAGAATCTGAATTCATTGACAGCCCCCACAAAGTTTATGTCGGCAATCTTGCAAAAAAAGTAACTACAGAGATGCTCAAAAACTTCTTTGCTGAGAAAGGGAAGGTTCTTAGTGCAAAGGTATCCCGAGTTCCAGGGACCTCAAAATCTAGTGGTTTTGGGTTTGTAACATTTTCTTCAGAAGAGGCTGTCGAAGCTGTAATCTCATCCGTAAACAATGCTGTAAGTTTGCTACTCTTTTTGTTATGAAAACTTGGTCTTTTGTAACCACACAACCACAGGCCCGTGTGCTTCTGATAAGTGGTTTCATGATGGGTACTTCCATTGGATGTATGCATACAATAAATAGAAGGAAAAAATAATAGATCATTTTCATTTTTTAATTATTTTTTGTAAATGATTGTATTAACATCCCAATTATCTCTTCTTCTTTTTTTTCTTTTTTTTTTTTGGCAGTTGCTTGAAGGGCAGAAAATTCGTGTAAACAAGGCTTAATTAGCAGAAACTTGGTATTAACGTGGCATAGCATAGTTGGGAGAACTTGGGTTGGGGAGAATGGTTTGCACTGTAACTGTTGGATTGAGAATTGGATGTTCTTTTTGTAGAGGGAACAAGAATTACAATATTTAGAGAACATCAAACTGTTCCCAAAAAGGAAAAGGAAAAAAAAGGAACAGCCAAGTGTTGATAGTTATTAGTTGTTTTGTTTTGAGCCTCGTGTTATTTTGGTTACAACGATGAAGTTAATTGACAAAGTTTAAAGTAGTTGAGTTCTTGCATCGTTCTTCTTGTTGGAATATGGAATGTTGTATATTTAATTTAGGAATTTAATTTAAGGGTTTGATTGCGTAATTATTTAATTCCTTTTTGCATGTATCTTATATTGATTATATATAGACATGGTCTCACCTAAATTAGGGTAAGCCAATATTTTATAACTCTCTTCTTGGTATCAGAGCCAAACCCTAGCCACCCACCACCCTTCTTCTTCCCTCCACGTAGCTAAAAGTTTTTCTCTTCCTTCTCAGTCCCTCGGCAGTCCCTTTTTCTCACTACCGCAGCTTTCTTAGGTGCCGACTCGACCCTCCCTGCCTTGGGTCTAGTGCGGCTTTCCATACTGGTGTTGTTCTTCTCTCTTTACCCTTCTAGGGTTCATGTGCTGATGTGGTAAGCACTATCTAGTTTGATTTTCTGTTGTGTTGGGCTACCGGTGTGGTCGGTAGCATCTTTTTTGTGTAACGCCACTACTTCGGCTTCATGGTGTTTCAGTATATCTGACTTTGTTACACAAACTCAAAGCATTATGTCTCGTTCAGATGTTTCCTTGGCCTCCTATGTTCTGATTCATCGGATTACTAGTGTGTTGCTCACTGGTCGCAACTTTACGGCTTGGAGTCGGTCTATATGTCTCTACCTTGAGGCTAGAGGCAAATCTGGATGGCTTTTGGAAACCGAGATACAACCTCCCGCTGATGATCCTAAGCGGGTTCAATGGGATATTGACAATTGCACCTTACTTGGTTGGATGTTTAATTCTATGGAAGAACGCATCTACAACATGTTAATGTACTGTGATACAGTTCCTCGGTTGTGGAGTGCTCTTACCCAGATGTACGCACATGCCCACAATGATGCTAGGATTTTCGAGCTCTATCAGGATATTTCTCATGCCTCTCAAGAAGCTTTGGGGCTTACCGTTGCTGAATTTTTTGGATATCTTCAGTCTTGCTGGGAGGAGTTAGCATAATATGAGCCATTAAGTGATTTTCCAGCTGCTGCCATTTCTATTGTGTCTGCTCGTCTTGCTCGCCATCACACCTATGAATTTCTGATGGGTTTAAAACCTGAATTTGAGTCTCTTCGTATTCAAATTTTGAACACATCACCTATGCCATCCTTATATAAGGCTTTTGCTACTATTGACAGGGAGGAGCGTTGTCGTCGATTGATTCAACCAGTTGCTCCGCTTCCTTTCTCTGTTCCTACCTCATTTTCAGTTTTCAGATTAGATGCTCTTGCTGCCAAGTTTAGTTCTCGTGCTTCTAGTAGCAAGGTTATTTACATCATTGTGGCACAGCTTGTCACAACCCAAACCCGCCCCTATAGGTTTAGCGTCGTAACCGGCCAGTAATCCTTGAATTACCAAAGGCCTCTTAACCAAATAACATATAGTTAGGGGCTGCGGAACCAAATATATAAAATATAAATAGTCCATCAAGCTGTAAAGACATACGTGGGACAAATAATCTTAAACTTTAAAAACTAAAATTCAGTATTTATACGCCACTTCATGTATATACAATAGAAAACTTGTTTATAAGTCAAAAGAAATTAAGTCTAATGCATCCAAAAAAACACAGCCTCTAAACATGACTTGACCGGGGACCTCCTCGGGAGGCACAAAGGCTAGTTGACCAAAAATTGAGTCGCCAAGTCCTCAACTTTGAGCCTAGTCATGTGCCTGATCACATGCCTGATCACCTACATATATAATATAAATAGTGAGCGAGAGCCCAGTGAATAATAATAGAGTAAAGGGTTAAATGAATGATGTCCCGTAATTAAGTTTGTGCATAGAACCAATTCATATTCGTGATCTCATTCAATGTATATATATAATTCAGGAATCATGCTTGATCATTCATTGTTCATCCGTTAGCGCTAACATGTCATATATAGAACATCATAGATCATACTTGTCAGTTCCATAGAGGAACCTCCGGATGGGTATAGATAACTTGCCAGTTCCATTAAGGAACCTCCGGTCCGGGTAAAGATAGCATACTTGAATCATAGCATTTAGCATTAATGTCACATATATATATGTCAGAGATGGACAATCATTCATAGTGCATAAACATAGCATTTAGAGGACAAATCTTATTCCATATACAGAAGTTAATTTAACTTGAACATAACTTTACTAAGTCATTACTCACATATAGCCGATGGCTCCAAATAGTTGAGTAGAGTAGGCAATTCACTTAACTTGAGGTGCGTGACCTAGATAACATGACAGATACATACATTGAAGCACACGCTCGCATTATACGTAACTTATTTCATTTGTTCTTAGTGTGTTTCTAGTCTTTATCCTCATTATAGTGTCTTAATCTTGGCCTAGGAATGCCTAGGATGGAATGAGGATGCAAAAATGTACTTGAAAATATTTTTTCAAAACTTACTGAAAATAGGGTCCACACTCGAGCGTAGATTTCCTCGCTTGAGCGGACATGCAAAATGTAAGGGTCCGCTTGAGCGCAATTTCCTTCGCACAAGTAGTCTGTAAACTTTGAAAAAGTACTGGCTACTTGTTTTCCTGCTCGACGCTCGTTCGACACTCGCTCGAGCATGAGAGACATGCCCTCGCTCGAGCGTAACTTTTGTCGCTTGAGCGTGCTGCAAAATAGAAGAACTTCTGAGAGCATGCATTTCACGCTCGAGCCAGCCTTTGGTTGCTCGAGTGGAAGTGTGAGACATAGAGTGGCCGCTCGAGCGTGGAATCCATCGCTCGAGCAAGGAAGCAGAATTCTGGAATTTTCAGAATTGCTTCCAAGCTTCAAAACTCAATCTTAAAGCATCAAAGCTCGATTTTCTGGGTCAAAATTTGAGGAAACATTGAAAAACTCATAAAACATCATGAATTAAGGATCATTTGAAGAAATCATGGTTCAATAGCTTGCCAATTGTGCAAAAATTCAACTTAAAATTTATGAATTTCTTGCTCAATAGCTTGCCAATAGAACATGACATGCATGAATTTTTTTGAACTTAATCTTCTCAAAACATGATCAAATGCTACAAAACAATGTGAAACTTGATGATTTCCCAAAATTAAGGTGAATTCAAGACATGCATGAGGGAATTCTTGGAAATTAAACTCAAAATATGAGAAAATATGCATACATGCATGGTATGGCTCAAAACTCTTCATTTCTAACTCAATTCTTACATTAATCAACATAATTCTCTTGTGTTCATGCATTATAGTTTAGATTTCAAGGCTTAAGGATAAAATTCTTACCTAGAGACTTGAGTTCACAGGTGTTGAAGTTGTAACTCTCAAATTCTCTTCAATCTCTCGACAATTCTTGCAAGTTTCCCTTTTCTTACTTGATCCCAAACCCTTTCTTAGTCTCAGTTCTCTCTCACGTTTGAGTCACAAAATGAGGGATTAAACTCCAAAGTCTTGAATCAAAAATTTGCCTTATATGGGCTTGGGCAAAAGTGTAATTATTGTTAATCAAGTAGACATTAAATTATTTTAATTTAGTCATGCCGAACAGAATTTCAATTAAACCTATCATAAAATTCTGAAAATTCTAATTAACACATAAATCAAGTCAATTTCTAAATCGGGTGCCGATAAGGCCTTCAATTCGTAAACAGAATAAAAAAAAATATGAACAGATCTTTTTACATTAAACAGATATAAATACAAAATAATGTGATGCACATGTAATTAACTCAGGATTTTTTCTTAATTACTTGTTAGGCATACTTAAGCATGGATTAGCGCCAATCATTGGCTGGGGTTGTTACACAGCTAGTCATGTCCAAGCACGGTGCTTCAAGCTTCATCCTAAGTAGAAGCAACGCTTTGCATGGGCATGCTCTTCAGGCCCTCCCCATACCGCTGTTATTGTCGACACATCAAGTACACCTTAGCTGACTCATTTTGTTGATGTTCATTAGCTTCAATCTCAAATTAGTTGCCTTCAAGAGCAACTTGGTTCATTCACTGCCTTCAAGAGCAACTTGGTTCATTCACTGTCATGTCTCCAAGTATCCCTTCTACTGCCACACTCGCTGTAGGTACTCGTACAGTCTTTCATGTTCGCACTGCACCTACTTGGGTATTGGATTCTGGGGCCAATGATCATATGATCGGTGAGTTTTCTTGTTTATCTTCTCCTATCTCTACTGCCGCTCAGACTGTATGTCTTGTTGATGGGTCTATTTCACATGTCTAACGTAAGGGTGATGTGTCATTGTCATCTGATATTACACTTACTTTTGTATTACATGTGCCCTGTTTTGCTTATAATCTTCTCTCTATTAGTTGCCTTGCTAAAAACCTTCATTGTGCGATTATTTTCTTATCTATTCATTGCTTATTACAGGACCTGACTTCGAAGAAGATTTTGGCAGGGGGTTTGAGCGCAACGGGCTATACGACTTCAGGGACCCACCATCTTCTCATCCTACCACTTATGGCTTGCAAGCTACTGTGTTACCTGAGTTGTCTTCCTATGTGTTTTCTTTTCAGACTTTAGCCTTGTGGCATGCTCGTTTAGGACATGCAAACTTTAATTATTTATGTTTACTTTTTCCGTCACTTAATAAAGCTTGCAAGGATCATCAGTTTCATTGTGTTGTTTGTGAACTGT